CATCCTGCCTGTACGAGATCTATACAAATTGTGTCCTGGAATGTAGCTGGATGGAAGGAAGCGGTGGACAGTGAATTGGCAGGCTTCCTCTCTAAATTTGATATAATAGCTATTCAGGAAACATGGTTAACAGGAGAGGATGAACCTGTACAACTCCCGGGATTTCAAAGATGGGATATCCCTGCTCAAAAATTAAAGAACAAAGGCAGCCTTTGTACTCTTATCAAGCAAGAATTGCACTGGCAGTGGAGAGAAATTATATAATGAAGATAAATTTCCCCACATATTAGCTGTGAAATTTAGATATAAGGACTTAGAAGTAATAGTAGTAAATGTATATATTCCCCCACATGCATCCCCTTATTTTAATTCCGATTATTGGATAAGTTTAGAAATGATAATGGATGAATTAACATCATTATATTCTCAATCCAATTGCCATATATTACTTGGCAATTTTAATGCCAAATTAGGATCATCCCTTCATGATTTTGTCCAGAAGAATAGTTTTCCAAATGAATTCCTTGAGAGTGGCTCTCAAGAGATAATAAAAGCAACACTGCTGACCTGTATTTAGTTTCTATAATTTTTAAATGTAATCTTCAAATTTTGGGGGGCAAGGATAATAGTTATATATATCCGTACACTTATCATTCAGCCCACACAAGCAGTGTGTGGATCTCATTTGTGTATTGCAAATTAAGTTGACCTATTTTCAGAGATTATAATACATCTAAGAGGCAAAAGTGACCATCAGCCAGTGAGTGTGAATTTCACGGGTAGTTCAGATTTAAGACTGTTTAATAAGACTGATAGGTGGCTCACTAATAAATATGAGGTGTACCAAAATAGAAGATTAACATGGGCCAAAATCAATACTATGGCTATATTAGATAGCCTTAAGGCAGAGAATGTGGCTAAATGGGCTAAGACAATACGATCTCCTAATGCTGACTGGTTGTTAGTTTCTAATGCATTTATAAATCTGTGCTATATGTTGAAGAATCATTTAACAATCAACGCTTTAGTGAAAAGCTCTTACGTAGGCAGATCTCCCTGGTTTGATAATGAATGTCAGCTGATGAAAAAGAAACTGAAGTCAGCCATGAGACACACTCAGAGATGTTCCATTTATACACACGAGGAGATGCTGACCTTAAGAAGGGAATATAAAAAACTTATAAAACTAAAGAAAAAAAATCACGCCATCTCAATTTGGTCAAGACTAGAGGCAGCAGCAAAAACTCATAATTCAGCTATATTTTGGCACTCCGAGCAGGAATTTTAAGAGAACAGAGATGTGCATTTGATATCCCAATCTCTGCTGAAGATTGGAAGAATTATAGAGGTTTATTTGCTTTAACGGACTCTGCAGAAAAACAGCCTTTAAGCAGTGATTCATTACCTACTAAAACTACTTTGCCCTGGCCACCAGTCTCAGAAAATGAGATTCAGACCATTATTAAAGGTCTACAGAGTAATAAAGCCCTGGGAGAGGATTTTTTGCCAGCCGAATTATTTAAAAACTTCCCTAACTGGTGTGGTCTCTTACTGGCAGGTCTATTTACACATATAAATAATACCTGTCAGATCCCAGTCAGGTGGAAGATGGCAATAGTGGTGCCTATATATAAAAAAGGGAATAAAGAGGACCCTAGCAATAATAGGCCTATTAGTTTAATAGATATTGTTGCCAAAAATATATGCTT